AATTCGTTTTGTCAACCTTTGTTTACCACTTTTCTGCATCCTAAAAAACTGTTGAACTGACAAGCTCTCCTCTCCACCCGGTGTGATTTATTTTTATATTTTTTTTTCCGGGGGTGCATGCGCAAAATGATTGTTTTAAGACTTGAAGGACTTTTTGTCGATGTTAGTTTGCTTGAAGCTCTCAAGTCAGTCTTTTTATTTAGCCCCTAAATGTTTTTCAAGATCTCAGTGTTACAGTCCTGTGTTTCGGTGTTTGGTATGATCTTGAGTTCATTGGTGTTGTTGCTTTTCCCATTTTCCGTTTCCTATTGTGCTAGATATTGTTCTGCTCATGTTGCTGTTGGATGATCCTCCAAATTCAGGACTCAGTCATTCAGATTAAAGCAGAAGACGACCCATTCACTATGGTAATCAGCCCAACAATGGTAGATATCAGCTATAATATGTTGCTGTACAATTCATGGAGCCTCCAAATTGCCGCAACACTTCCGCGTGGCGGACACTGTAGAATCAGGATGCCGCATGAACAAGTGTGTGTTTGCTTTCGGTGCCCGATGCTTCCACTGCGAAGGTGCTCATGTTTAACACTTCACATCTGTGACAATGGCCCTCTGGTCAAATCGAGGGTGTTTTTTGTTGCAACAATTATCGTCATTATGGTTGTCTATGCAGAAAAGTCACAACAGTTACAGACTTTGAACAAATCTGTATCCAAAAACACACATTTCGGTTCAGAGGCAGCTTTCACTGGCCCAGTTTCTAAAGTAAGACGCACAGGCGAAACTGCATTGTTCTTGGGTAAGGTTGATGAAACGTAGGTTCGCATCATGCATGGTGTGTCATTAGCAATTAGTAGATATTCAGTCTCGTGTTTGCAACACCTGTGAAAAGTTTGTCGACTTGGGTTATACCATTTAGACATTTACAACCTGTGTTCTTGTGATTTGCTATTTCTTTTTTGCATGTTGTGTCACTTCTTGCAATGCAGTTTGTTTCAAATTTGGAGAAACGTCATGCGCTGCTTTTTGTGTGGAGAAACTTTCAATCACCAAAACTTTGCATTGCTGAATGCTTTTGCAATCATGAAGCATCTTGGCAGCTTTTTGCCACCTCAAAGCTGAGACTGAAGAAAAGTCTTGCGACTCGCGACTCGCGACTCGTGAAGAGAAGCGATTCATGTTCGTTCGGCACGTTCCGTGGCACGTTCCTGGACGCTACCTGGCACTTCGACGTGGAGGTTTTTCGACGTGGCACTTTGGGCGGCTACCTCGCAAAGAGGATCATGTGCTCATGGGTGCAGTGAGTTATGACCCAGCCATTTCGAGCATTTGGGAGAAAATGAAGGACTACTTGAATTCAGCTGGATGTCCATTTGATTTCGTTCTCTTCACCAACTATGAGCGACAGGTAGCAGCTTTGTTGGCTGGTGAGATTGATCTGGCCTGGAATGGTCCCGTCGCTCATGTTCTCGCTCAGCAGCATGCAGGCCAGGCCAGACGTTTTGGCCTAAACTGCTTTAGGTCCGGTCCGGTCCGCGTGGCTGCGGCATCCGCTTAAGTAGCGGCATGTGGCCCCCGTCCCTTAAGTAGCGGCGTTTGGCACGTCCGGTAGGGGGGAAAGGTTCTGCATGACGTAGGGCACGGCATTCACGTCCCATGGGACCCCGGCTTCACGGCCAGGGCCTGGTGGTGTGATTTCCCTGGGCATGCGGGATGTGGACTGTGACTTTATCTCGCTTTGCGTGGCACGAAAGGACGCGAACGTCGCGTCTGTCGGCGAAGTGACTGGAAAGATTGTGGCTACTGGAGCTTCTGACTCACCCCAAGCGCACTTGGTGCCTCTGTTCTGGCTTGATGAGCTGGGAGTGAAACCAGCTGAGGTCAGAGCATTTGACATGGACCTGGGAAAACATGGCGACACAGCTGTAGGGGAAGTGTCTGCCTTGGAGGCGTTGTTGGAAGGCCAGGCACAAGTGGGGCTGCTGTCCAAAATGATGTGGATGCGTGGCCTGCAAGGACAACTCCCCAGCATTGATGCGAAACAGTTGGAAGAAACGCTGGAAGTGATACCTGAATCTCCTCCACTCTTTGACCATTGCCAGTTTGATGTCCTGGCCAGCAATCCAGCATGGAAGCGTGAGAGCTTCTGTGATGCTCTCTTCAAGATGGACATCAGGAATCCCAAACATGAAGAGGTCATGCGATTGGAAGGCATACAAGACAGTTGGATGCCACCCAGACAAGAGGGTTATGCAGTGGTGCAGAAGGCCTTCGCATCCTTTCAACCCAAAAGGCAGCCGTGCGGGTGTTATTTGACCTGTGTTTTTCTTTTCTTTTCAAGTAGAAATCATGTGACTCACTCATGTGTTGTACATATCATCCTCATGTGACTGCTCTAACCGATCCAATCCCCCGATCAGGCACTACAGCACCGTCGCCAGAACTCACAGACCCGGGCGGCCAGGCATGTCCACGGCCACCGCCATGTCGCGAGGAGGGGGCCTCGGTCTCGGAGGCTCCCGCCATGTCAGCTCCTCTCGCGTGGGAGTGGTTGGAGGAGGTGTGGCGGGTCTCCAGGTGATCCGGTCTTTAAGGGCTAAGGGCTTCGAGGTGAAGGCTTTTGAGCAGGATGCCAAGATTGGTGGTGTGTGGAGAGAGAACTATGTGAACTTCGGAGTGCAAGTGCCAAAGCAGCTCTATGAATTTCCCGACTTCCCTTCCAAGTTACCTTGGGGCCAGTATCCCACAGGCCAAGAGACTCAGCACTACGTGGAAGACTATGCTGAGCACTTCAAACTCCTCGATTCAGTGGAAACTAATACCAAGGTGCTGAGTGTGAAGCCACAGGAAGATGGCTGGGTCTTCACAACCAGCAAGGACGGTACTGCAAAGGAGGAAAGCTTTGACTATTGTGTGATTGCCACCGGGCTTTACAGCAAGACCAAGCAATTTCTTCCCAAGCTGCCATCTCAGGAGCTTTTTCAGGGCCAAGCTTTACATTCGACTGACTTTCAGGACCCGGCCATGGCGGAGGGCAAGCGTGTGGTCGTTGTTGGAAACGGGAAGTCTGCAGTGGATTGTGCGGTTGAGGCGTTCAATGCTAAGGCCTCCCATGTCACGATGGTCAGCCGCAGGCGTCGCGGCAAAACGCCGTTGGCGAAAAAAACACGCGTCGTCGCTTCTCGTTTGGGAAGCGGAAACTGCCGGAAAATGGAAGTCTGACAAAGGCCGCTAAACTTGCTTTCCGCACTCTGCGAATGAAAGAACCGTTTCACCGTTGTTTCCCAAAAGAACGGTTCACGAAACAACGAACACCCACTGCTAGGCCCCACTGGCCGACCCCGCGGAAGATCGCCAATGTGATTCCCTTCCAGTACATTTTCTTGTCCCGGCTTGGGCAGGCGCTGGTGACTGGCCATCGGGGTGCCCTGCCCGGGGCCCCAAAGCATATGTCCTACTGGCACCAACTGGGTTGGCCTCTTATGGCCGGTGCCTTCACGGTGGTGGAGATGCTTTTCGCGCTGCAGTTCAGGAACATGAGTGGCAGTACCTCGCCACTCTTCAAATGCGATGTGGTTTCGGATTTCTATGGGGCGGCGCAGGTCCTCGACTATTCCTTTCGAGACTTGGTCTCGGCTGGGAAGGTGGATTGGAAGATCGGAAACCCAGAAGCTTACAGTAAACATGGCTTGTTGGTGAATGGACAGGAGCTGCCAGCAGATCTCATCGTCTATGGCACAGGCTTCGAGAAGGACTACAGTGTGCTCTCGGAGGACGTGAGATCCAAGCTGGGCATCGAAGCGGATGGACTCTACCTCTACCGTCACACCTTGCCCCCCCCGGGTGCCTCGCTTGGCCTTCGTGGGGAGCGAGGTGGCCACCATCTCCAACATCTCCAGCTACGGCTTGCAATCAGCTTGGCTTGGCAAGGTTTGGTCCAACCAGGTTGAACTGCCCAGTACTGAAAAGATGGAGAAAGAGATCCAGGAGATGAAATGCTGGAAGCGAAGCTGGATGCCAAATACTGCCGCAAGGGCCAGTTTGGTGTTGCTTCATCAGACCCATTTCCATGACATTCTACTGAAAGACATGGGCATCCAACATTTAAGGAAGATGCCGAATGTGCTGGCAGAAGTGTTTATGCCCTACCAACCACAAGATTACAACGGTATTGTTGCAGAATAGCTGCCATCGCTTACAGATCTTTGAGTGCAGAAGGAAATGGTCTGAGGCTATGGGGGATGGGTCAAAATTTGGAGCCCTGGTCCACCATGTAGCTTGACCTTTCAGGTAGTCTAGTCGTTCATTTGGGGTGGTCAATCAAGGTATCCCGGTTTTGACCCAGCCAATGGGTCAAAGTCCTTTTTATTCAGCGGCATGGATCAACACTCAGGACGGATGGCTGAAGTTGCCTTTCCAACCTGGACAAACTGTCGTCAGGCTGAATCAGTTCCGCTGGCAGCTTGATGGATGTAGCGGCAATCATGCAATGAATCGTAGCAGCGGCAAGCCACGAAACACACCCTGAGTAAAACACAGGCACAGTGGTGTGGACACACCAAAGATCGATCACTCCTAGATCCATCATACTTCCTATTCCTTACACTAAACAAAAACACAGACGTTTTTGAGAGTTGTTGGACTTTGGTCACCTTTGGTCCCCATCCAGACGTTTTACTATTCTTTCGCCTTGGACAGCTGAAGAGAAGCAACATCATCAGCTCACAGCTCACTACACTCGCTCCTCATGGCTGGCGGCCACCTGAGGTTCAAAAAAACGAAGATCTGCAGCAGTTTCGTACTTCTACACCACCACCACCTCCACCACCTCCTCCAGGTAGAGTGCTAATCGGTATGGTGCTAGGTACCCTGCTAAGGTGGTGGCCAAGGCTTGAGCGGTGGCACCGTGGCGGAACACGCCGCGGACTGAGGAACGCGTGGGATGATGAAACGCCGCGGACGGCCATGGGGGTTGATGTTGGGCCTGAAGCGAGACACCAGCGACTTCGGTGGGACAAGGAGATGTCTGGGAGATGGCAATGTCAGATGGTTAAGACACAAGTGCGTATTGATGTTCGATCCACAATTAAAACACACGTTTATTGTCATCAATTGCGAAAAGACGTGGACCTGGAGGTTTTTCCCCAAACAGTTTTCCCCAAACAGTTTACTGTTAGGGGTTCTCAATTCTTTCTTAAGATGTGTCCGCCTTTTGTGTCACTGCTGGTGTCCGCCCTTTTCCGCTGGCCATGTAGCATTTCTATTCATTTGTCTCCCAGGTCTGTCACTGCTGGTGTCCGCCCTTTTCCGCTGGCCATGTAGAAACTCTATTCATTTGTCTCCCAGGTCTGTCACTGATGGTCTCCGCCCTTTTCCGCTGGCCATGTAGAAACTCTATTCATTTGTCTCCCAGGTCTGTCACTGATGGTCTCCGCCCTTTTCCGCTGGCCATGTAGAAACTCTATTCATTTGTCTCCCAGGTCTGTCACTGATGGTCTCCGCCCTTTTCCGCTGGCCATGTAGTCGCAGCTGGTGTCCGCCCTTTTCCGTTGGCCATGTAGCATTTCTATTCACTTGTCTCCCAGGTCTGTCACTGCTGGTGTCCGCCCTTTTCCGCTGGCCACGTAGCATTTCTGTTCATTTTTCTCCCAGGTCTGTCACTGGTGGTGTCCGCCTTTTTCCGCTGGCCATGTAGCATTTCTATTCATTTGTCTCCCTGGTCTGTCGCTGCTGGTGTCCGCCCTTTTCCGCTGGCCATGTAGCACTTCTATTCATTTGTTTGCCAGGTCTGTCCATGTAGCGTTTCTATTCATGTGTCTCCCAGGTCCGTCCGCCCTTTTCCGTTGGCCATGCGGCGTTTCTATGCATTTGTCTCCCACATCTGTCACTGGTGGTGCTGCCAGGTAGCATTTCTATTCATTTGTCTCCCAGGTCTGTCACTGCTGGTGTCCG